TTCCAAGTTACCAAAAAGGTAGTTCCTTGACTCAGATGAGACGGGATATCTCACTTTTTGCAAATGTTTTCGTTTCGATTTTTCGTTGTAAAGGCCAAGGGGTGAAAAATAAGTGGCCTAAAACCGGTGAGAAAACTAGATTTGGGGGTACCCTAGGTTCCGGGAAGGATCAGGTGTGCCCCCCCATCCCAAAATACCTTCCGCCGCCTCTGTTCACGATGGTGGGATAGATATTTTGCTGGCCTCCGTTGGCTTCCGACGTGTCTTGCGGGATGCGCTGCAGGCTCTGCAGCTCATCCCCTGCAAAATGTTAATAACCATGAAATTATAGGTACACTTAACATTGCGTGGGAGGAAATGGAGGAGAAAGAAAAAAAGAGAAGGAGGGAAATAATGAAGGAGAAAGGGAGGGAAGGAGGGAAGGGAGAAGGAAGGAATGAAGGAAGGAAGGAAAAAAGGAAGGAAGGAAGGAAGGGAGAGAGGGAGAAAGAAAGGGAGAGAGAGGGGAGGGAAAGAGGGAGTGAGGAAGGAAGCGAGGAAAGATGGAAGGAAGAAATGAGGGAGGAGACTGAGAGGTAGGCAGATGAGACAAGATGGACGAGACGAGACATACGCGACCGCCGACCTGACGTGTTGGCACTGATACTGCATTTCGGCACATGTCAAAATAATGAAAGCAAGAGATTGCAAAGTTAGTGTGATGTTGCCCCCTTGGGGTTCCGTAAGCGGTGGGGAGTATGTTTTCAAAAAAATTATTGTGTAATAAAACTTCGTTCATCGGGGGTGTTTTTTTTCTTCCGAGATGGATGCCGACCTGCGCCGTGCTCTGGAACAACCTCAGGTGAGTGGTTTCGGCTGGTAGATCCTCAAATGGTTGATTAACGAGTTGATTTTCTTGCTGTTTGACTTCTCTCTTGTTCAAACGTAATTACACACCCATTTTTAATTGATGATCGGTCCGTTGGTTTCAAGCTGGCCGATTCCTTTCCGCCACCGTTCCTTGCGCCTGGGGCTCGTCACAAACAATATTTATAATGAGGCTGGCTTGTCGCTTGTCAACATATAGTCTTCCTGCCTGGGATGGTGTCTGCATCATAAGGAATTTTGGGATGTGGAAGTCTCCCCCTATCAACAATTTTGATGCCTCCCGTAAGGGTCAGCCCCTTAGCCACCGTCTGATTAGGGTAAAATACGAATCAATCCTTCTATTTCTCCCCCTTTTTGTCCTACTCAAAAAAATCACATCCCCGTTTGAGGTCACCTTTATGCTGAGGGTCAAATCTCCCGCTGGTCCTTACTCTACTGACGCATACATCAATCTGTTCACCGACGCACACTTCCTTCCATACAACGCTCATCCCACTACAATGAATTTCCTTCCGAGTTGACCTCTCGGCCCCTCCCAGCAATAATTCTACTCCCTCCAGCGGTGCATAGAAGTGCCTTAAACGTAAGTTTGTTTGCTTTTTTTTGGAGTCCGTGCTAAAGGTAAGGGGGATTAAAAGAGATAATTATCGTCTCAATCTTACCTCACAACGACTTATTGCGCCCTACTGTAACCTTGGATCTCTTGGTGCCCGTCCTAGCACCCTCCCTTGGCCCATCTCGGCCCACTTAACCTAGAACCCTACATCACTCGACCCGGATTACTTGTCTAAAGTTACGACGCAGTGTAGCGACTGGTTATTAGCGTTCGTCGACGGGTGTGATTGGCTCTTTCTCCCCTGCCGCTCACGGCACATCTCTGATTCCCTACTAAAACCCCGCAGCCGGACGTTGGTTACTAACCCCTGCAGCCCTTCTGTGAGAGACTGTCTTACGCGTTTTCACCTAACGAACCGGTGGACACAACCCCTGCCGCCCCGACGACCGCAGTCTCGCTGGGCTCATAGTCAGGTACCTACTCAGTACTCTCATGTAGTCATGGCACCCGCAAGTGGCGCCCTTGAATCATTGACCGGTGTGACTCGAAGACTCCATGACTGAACCTATCCTACAATTTTATCCGACGCCGTGGAATTCTGTCCTGCAGATGTGTGTTCAAGCGCGTTAGCGTCATGAGTGATGTATTCTGCGATCATTCCGACGGTGGACTTACCTCATTCCGGCGGTATTGCTTCCTTCGCCTTATTCCCTATCATCTTCGTATTTGTCACTCACCTTCAGTGGTACGCTCCCTCGCACTGTCTGGCTCTCTACCTTCTGAACTCACCTCTTTGTTTGGGCGTCTTATGGCGTCCTATTTGCTCCACTATCTTTTACTTATTTCTTTTCAACGAGGGACCATCCCAGTCCAAGCAGGTTTCGACGTATCAGAGAGTTAGAAGCACATAGAAGTGCTGCAACATACCTCCTCTTCGGCTAGCATCAACCTTTACTTCCTTGCATGTCCCTGGTCTTCATTGTTAGAGATATCTAAGTATCCCACGGAAATCGGTTGGGCATTCCCCTTACCTGTCTAGTTCATGAAGGTGTATGTCAATGTCCATTAGTCATCTTGTCGAGATTCATCTTAATTGCAGTTGTGACTTGTACGTGTCGAATAACGAGGAACAGTCACGTAACTTTAATTTCCACGACAATTGTTACACCCGTCAGTACGCCCATAATTTGGTAAGCATCATGGACTTCCACCAGTGACGTCATTTATTTCTTATGATTGCTCAGTGTTGAGCTTGGCAAGGGAGTTGACTCGTGACGTCTTTAAATCGTGGCCCTTGGAGAATGGCGTCAAGATAACTCCCACAGATAGGTCCGATTAATTTGGGGGAGCCCTGGACGAAGTTCCAAGACGGAGTACTGCGCCGGCAGCGAAATAGGGCCCAGGCTAAACCATATAATTTTTTTGCTGGAGGGAGAAAAAAATATTCTACACACAAAAATTTGTACATCAGGGAACGATTCGCGATTTCCTCAATTTAATCAAGGAACCCATATAGACAAAGATCTAAACCCTTCAAGCGTTTGTTCCAACCCCCATTATATCTTCGGTCACGTGATCGCCTTGGTAAATCCTTGTATTTGCAATGTTGTGACTTTAACAAAACAAAAAAATGTGTAATACCCTTTGAACCGTAATCGTGTAACCGCATTTCAAAATTTTGTATAACTTTACTTAACAAATAAACAAAAGAACGTGATATTTCGGGGTCTGTGTTTTGGCCAGTCCTTTTGCGACTCAGATTCTTTACCTACCTTATGGCCTGATAAGCAGATGGGCTTATGTAAACGAATCATTGAACCTACTGGGGCCGAAACTTTATCCCTCTTTCACTCCCGGATTATGATATCCTGGCAGGAACTTTGGCAGTTTGCGCAACAACTGTGTGGTGAAGGAAAAACTTTACGCCCGGCCAACACCGCAGACCTCGGCTACCAAATCGCGCTCGGCTGGCATATCTTGCTCTCGCAATTCCCTGACCTTGAACCCACGGTGGTTCAAGGCTATAGAACTCCAGGTAAGGACACCAGCCGTTTGACCTTGAACGCCGCCGGCCGGCCGATGACGTCATTGGAGGCAAGCCGGCTCGGCGGACACACAAGGCGAATGCATAACGGAGGGGCGTTGGAACGTTGCGGGAACCGGGGAGGTATTTTAATGTGGTTGCATACCACCATTGTTATGTTGATTGGTCTACAGACTCCATTCTTTTATACCTCGATGCATCCTAGGCCTGGATGGTGCGTACATTCGTGGAACGATCACCCCGTCCGACGTCCGTGGTCGAAGCTGTCATAGTATTAAAGACACTAAGACGGGTGCAATAACGGCGATCCGATCCCGTCTCTGGCGAATCTAGAGGGGTCGTAAGGACCCAGGCCGAATCTGACCATCTATTTTTAGGGAAACAGGGTGGGTGAATTAATAACCGATGGCTTGAGAGAAGATGAGAAGGGATCCCGTCGTCGATTGTTGTTTGACAGACAACACATGTTGTACTGTGCGTATGACCATCAGAGGTAATGCCTGAACGTAGGCAATCATAATTGGTCTGTCATACTGTTTATAGGAATATAAAATGGTAATGGAGATCATTGAGGATATGATCTCTACATTACGGGAATTCACTAATTACTAGGGCCCATAGGGGCACCGCCGGGGCTGTTGTTTTACCATCGGTCCCAGGCAACTCCAGGGAGCTGCAGTACCCGGCGGCCAAAGCGTCCACCTCGTCGACTCGCAGGCCCTGTGGGATTCCGTGATGCTTTAGTGCTTCACCCACAGAAGCATGGGCATAGCAGTAGGATGTGGGGCTAGGTGTCTGTCCACCTTTTCAGTGAAAGAACACCGTATACAGCGCCTGGTCCCGCCGAAGCTCGGTATCGACCGTGACTTATTCACAACTGGCGGATTCAGGAAGCGGTCTTGGACACTGCGGGGGCTTACCCCAAAAAGGTTTCTCGGAATTAATTTAAAAAACTTGGATTTCGATTCCTTGCGCACTGCTGTGCTGTGTGATTAACCAACATATCCTCAAAAAAGTTGTGAAGTTTTCTTTTATTCTCGAAAAGCGATTTCGGGCGCTGCCCTGGTTGTGGGGGAAGACATTTGCCCTAAAATTCCCCTGGATCCGCCAGTGGGTTGCCCCACTCCGAGCTTGACTAAGAACTTCTTCAAACCCCACCAGAAACCGATGGTAAGATGAATTTAAATCCAGTAACTCATCTCTGTCTGCCCGCCTAAATATACTACACATGGTACGGCACCCGGCCCTGTCGGAGCTATGAGCCGATCGTGATATTTTCGGCTTTCCCCATCCCAAGCTCGATTAGAAACGTTCTCCTTCCCCACCCGATTGCTGATGTCAATTCAAATTCAATGCCTCATCTCTGTCTGCCCGACCATAACCCATTCATTGCACACCGTTCAGCGCCCGGCCCCGCCAGAAGTATCCTAGCGCGCTGAGCAGTTGCCTCCAGCCGCGTCATCGCGAGGCCCCGCGCGGCCCATAAATGAATACATTGCGCGAATAGCCGTGTCGCCCCCCTGCGGTGGTTTTCAAATGTCGGGTTTTTGCCGCGGCGTAGATTCAGTGATAATTGTGGAAATTTATTAGTTTCACTGTAAATTGGGTGAGGTTATCGATAAATTTTGATATTGGACCTAGATCTTTACCGTAGTTCCTCTTGGTTCGTAAGTATTTGTGGCGGACTGGTAAGTGAGGTGTGCGCGTGCGCACAGTTTGCCTCAGTTTGGTTCTCCGGACTCGGCTCAATTTCAAATGATATATTGACTGCCTTTTTTTGTAGAATTTCATGCGACATGTCATATAATTCACTTGTTTGCCCTGCTAGACCCACGTGTGAGGCTCGAGTTTGAATTCACTGCACAATATGAATGGGTTCTTGTAGGTACTATCTGTTGGGCAGAATTTAGTTCAGGCCGGATATAATTGCAAACAGTCCAAAAAAAATATAAGTTATTCAGTATATATTACTTGATATAATGAGTGGTTACTTTTGCCATGATCAAATAATTAAAACATCAAATAATTTAAACAATACAGAGATTCCGAAATGCGGGTGAGTTGCTCAGGTCCCTGCAGGGCGGAGGGTGGACCATTCTAAATCAAGATTAAGTTGGTAGCCTTATTTCTTGGCTGGTATTTTAAAGGAAATTTGGATAAGCCAAATTTTGATGCCTTCCTGATATACCTGTTACAATTTAGTAATAGTCTGCCACCTTCAAATTCCAACTAGGTAGGTATTCATCAAAATCAGCAACCACAGTCAATGCAGTGATGACGTTCGGTAATTTGTCATGTTGCTGTCCCTGATGCTAGGTAATGGGGCGTATCACTGGCCAATCTTGTTAACGAGCATGGTCAATTTCGAGTAAGATTAGCCCTATATTGCATGGGATCAAGTCCACAGACTATTCCTTGTACTTAATTTTTTTTTGTATGGGGCCAACCCGTTCAGTAATTCCCATCAACCAGACTAAGTGATAGACAAAAGGAATTACTATGAGCTCACATGAAATGGCTTTAGCAGTGTTATCTTGGTCTGTGCCGCCCATTAATGGCTGGGGAGTTATTGTATTAGCTAATGATTGGTCAAATTTTAGCAATTGTCTGAATTAGATGGCACAAGGAGCTGTTCCTATTAACCTTTCTGGTCATGATGAGAATTTAACTGTTAAGTTTATTTCTTGGCTGACACCAATGTAAATGGAAGAAAAACTGTGACTGAATTTGGGCGTTGTTCGCCTGTTATAACCTAATGCCGGTTCGTAATAGTCGGGCCTCCGTAATTTCAAAATACTCCTCCAAACTATAACCACAGTGGTGATATTCAGTAGCTTTCCATGTTGCACATGAGATCGGGGTGGAGGTTATCTGAGGTTCGGCGCGGCAAGGTCATATGGTTGTTCCTGCTCATCAGTCATCAACTGTGTCAATAGCAACAGGACGGCGATCCTTGATGTTTACCAGGCCAGCTGTGGGGAGTGCTTGTGGCAAAGAAAATGAATTAACTCACCTTGGTGTATGTTAACAGAGCTATCATGTAATCCTTCTAATTTACATATCTGAATGATTTAACAAACGTTTGTGCAAGGGGTGTAATCAAAATACCTTCTATGGAGATGTTGATCTCAGGCTTGAAGAAGGGCTGGGATTCACATTTCGTTAGTTTGTCTCTGGCTGTTAAGTCCTTGATGCGATGTGATGGAGCATGTCTGACTAATCTTGTTCAGGTGCGATTTTCAAACCCAAACGCGATTGGTTGCCCAAATTTGAGTGGGATCACGCCTACGTCCTGTTCATTGTGTCAAAATTTATCTTTGTGCGGGGATCAACCATTCACATAATTGCCATCAATCAGTGAAGAGATTGCAAAAAAAAAAAGGGTTCAATTATCATGAGCTTACATGAAATGATGTTTAAAAGAAATTTCACCTAAGGCTATCACCTATGGTTGGTGGCCTCACAAATTTATCTAAATTTTGGTACACAGAAGTTGAACCTACAGCCAATTGAAACCATCAAACACTTAAAAATTCACTCGAACTGGACTGATACAACGAGCAAATGACACCGAAGGTAGACCAGGCGCACTTAACCTGACTCGAATTATCATTTCTTCCCAGTCAGGATGATCAAACGGCGTGCCGGATTGATCGCGTCGGGGGCACAACTGAGAGCTGTGTAAATCGCCACGCTTCTCCGGTCGGCGGTGGTATCAGCTGCATCCATGGCGTGAGATTCAACGAGTTCTTTGATCGATCTGCGTCGTTAAGAATAAGATCAGATCAATCTGGCTCTCAAGAGATACCTAGTGTAATTCACCCAGCTGCTAGAACCTTGAGATATTATTATGCTTGCAAGGGTTAATTTTGGTTAATTCAGGTTAATTCAAAGTTGTTAATGTATTAAGATACCGGAATAAGGCAGAGCTTTGCGTCGTTATCACGATTTTTCTGACTCACTGATAAGCTTATACGCACAATCATGGATGGGATCACCACTGCGATCTCTCACGGCAGGGCTGGAAACTAAAGCTTGGTATACCGGACGCTAGGTGGCGAGCGAGTGCTTAGCTTGTCTGCGTGGTGGCACTGGCAACGGAACGCACAGGGCCGACGTTAGAGATGTAGGTGGCGCTGGCAGCGTGTCGTTCTGACCAGGGATCACTCCGCATATGGAATTGACGCTTGTGCATGCCCAAGTGGCCCTTCCCTTTCGTGCTGGTGAAAACCCGAGCTAACCGCATCGCACTGAGGTCTAATTATGAACGTTACTGAGTTCGTTGCACGAACCCCTTTGTCGTGGTTGAATAATTTTAAGGTCGTGCCGCGCGTTCAGGGGCCTGGGAAGGCGATACTTAAACTTGATAAGACAAACATGATTTAGAATGCTGATTACTACGGAGTGGGAAACCCTATCACTTGTCCTGTAACCTCTTCTTGTTAGAGAAATCCTGCATTAACACGTATTGAACGGTTTGTAATACGTATTGAACGGTTCGATGTAAATGTGACCACTTTGCGTTCCTCGAAGCAACGTAAGGCGTCTATCATGGGTATGACAAAAATGCGTAATAGTAAGCTATGACTGGTTTGGGTTCTCAATGCAAGGATAAATGTAACCGATCGCTTGAAGGTATCCTTGCCCGGGGACCAAGCGCTGAATTCACAGGACAAGTCTTGACGATATGTAATGAGGCGCATTTCTGATTTCACCTTCCGTTAAAAGTTGGTTTTATTGACTCCTTGAGACTTTCATTAATAGACGGCATTATATTAGGCGCTCGAGTCACTATTGGCGGCGATTTTTCGTTAAATGTCGATTCAAGTCTAGGGTGCGTGTGTTCGTCACGGCTTTCTGAACGCTGATGGTAATTAGGCGAAACAAGGCATGAATTGGTGGGCTGACGGTTGGTGAGGCGGGTATTCACTTACAGGTGAAAAAAAGAACATTTTGGAACTTCGCATAAACATAAAATATTGTATGCTAGTGACTGGAATTAGTACCAAATGACAGTTCATTTCGTGAAAATTCTGGACGACATTAATCTTATCTGCTTTCGGTATACCCAATGGACCGCACAATGAAGTGTTGCTGACTCAAATCTGGGTTATAAGCCAAGCCAGGCGCTCATAGCTCCGTCGTGGTGACAGTTGACCCCCTGGCCCGACCGACCGCTCCGCTGCGTGTACATAGTGTTCAACCCTGGTCGCTCTGTGCGTGGTGCGCGGCGTCATGTTTTGACCATCTGACCACTAATCGTAAGTGGTTGTTTCTGGCGTCAGTGACCTCCTTGATACTCGTCTCGCAACGCAAAATAGCTACCCCTTCCCCTTTCCCAGACAGGTTGTTTAAATTTTCACGCTTTATTTTACACTACACGGACAATTAATGACAAACTAACCAATGTGCTATTGGTAAATCGTACTCGAGATTGTCAACTTGTCAATCCCGTTGTTTACTTAAACCTAACCCTAACAGGCGCGGCCTACCTTAATGCTTAATTCTAGACTTAATTAGTGACAGCATCGCGGCGCATCAAGTGACACGTTACCAAATGGTTTCGACCATTGGCGGCGCGCTGGCCCGACGGACGGGGACCGGTGCCGCATGACGTCACTTAATGATGTCAGAACTTTCACCCCTCCTATCCGGTCCTCACACCTACCCCCGGCCCTGGCGGTCGCGTACAAAGGAGCGTAAATGGTTGGCAAATGGTCCCGGCTCCGACACAAAATGTAAATGGACCATTGCCGCACCCGGCAGTGCGGCGCCGTCGAACAATCCCCATCACCCTACCCCCAGCTGTTACATCTGCTAATGGTGGCAAGGCCTGACCCTACGGGACGGTAGGTCTAGACTGGGGTAGACGCCCGGTAGATATGGGGGGGAGGGGGAGAGAATGCGTGTGTGGTGGGCATGGCTGGAGGGCTGGGAGTGGCAGGCAGCTTTCTGCTGGCGACTCACTTGAATTTTGGCGGCGTCGAAGATTGGTCTTGTTCTTGATGAGTGTTGCACCAGAGAGTCAGAGGAAGAGAGCACTGGTCCAGCCGGCAGAGACTCCCCGGGTGTTCTGTGTCTCTCCTCTTCTGCGGTCCGATTTTATTCCTTTGGTTATCCGGTTCCGGCGGGGGGTCGATTTCTGTGACCGGGACAGTTAATCGGTCCTTTCCTGGCTGATCTCCGGCGGCAGCCCCTGACCGGGGCTTCGAGAGGAAGCACGTCCGGCGTGGCCGAAGCTTCGGATTTCTCCCCTCCTCCGCTGTTTCCGCTGGAGTCGGCCCCCGTTGCCGGTGTCGGATGTGACGTTTTCACACTCGATTTCCGCCGGGTGTCGGTTCTGGGCTGCGCCGGATGCGACGTTTCCTTTACACCAGCCTGCACCGGATGCCCTTCCTGCCCTGGCTGTAGCGATGGTGGGGGCGGCTGGCCCATACAGCTGCTGCGAACGGATGTCATGGCGCCGGAGTGTCTCGGACTGGCTCGGCGCCGGATGGTTTGTGTGTACTCCACCCGTCGGCGAACGTTTGATCTCGGGGCGTCAGCCGCCTTAATGGCAGCAGCTGCTCGGGCGTGTGACCCGGTCTCCTCCTTGGCTCCGGCGTCCCGGCAGACAGGGTACTATGTGAGGCAGTTTATATGTATGAAAAAGGTGAGATTTTGACGAAAAAAAAAATGTCACAGCATTCAGCTGTTACATTTTCAGGCTTCTTCTTTTAATTGTGCCCTCACAATTGAAGTGGAGTGTCTTGTACGAAGGTCCGGAGGCCTTGTGACTTGCAGATCCGCGTGTTCCCTCGATGTCTTGGGCGGCGACGCCTGCTTCTGTGACCATTAAGAAGCGGGATGGGTGGGTTTTTGGTTTTGGACGATAGGGTGAGTGGCTCTGGGGTCTTCTAGTGGCTGGACGTTGTGACTGGACTGGATGTGAATTTCCCTTGAGGCCAGACCCTTGCCACCCCTTACCTTAACCTAGCTTACATGATATACGCCCCCGCCCCTATTCCCCGAACGTTTCCCTACATTTCTAGGGTAGAGTCCCGACAGGTCGGCCGGTCGGTACACACTACACACCTGTTGCCTTCTCAGGTGGCAGGCGCCCTTCACTACTTAAACCTATCACACACACCGCGCGCGCATCATCACATCTGTACATCACCCCCACACATTTGCCCGTAGTCCAGCGTGGCTCGCCTGTGGCAACTTGGGTGCGGAGTCCTGGGCCTTGCCTCCAGTTCGTCGCCTGGCGAGGCCCTTCGGTCGGTTGGGTCCATTCCGGTTCAGCTTGCGTAGTCGTGTAGCCCGAGCCCTTGACGCTGGGCCCTGGGCGCTTTACGGCAGCGCCCTTGCCTCCTCCTCCTCCTTGGTGGCGACGTTGTTCATCTGGTTCCTGTGGCAACTCGGGTGCGGAGTCCTGGGCCTTGCCTCCAGTTCGTCGCCTGGCGAGGCCCTTCGGTCGGTTGGGTCCATTCCGGTTCAGCTGGCGTAGTCGTGTAGCCCGAGCCCTTGACGCTGGGCCCTGGGCGCTTTACGGCAGCGCCCTTGCCTCCTCCTCCTCCTTGGTGGCGACGTTGTTCATCTGGTTCCTGAGAAAAAAACGTGGGGTTTTGGGAATCGCTGGGGGGGAAGGAATGGATCACTTGGGTCCTGTGCATGACCCTTGGAATGGGTAGGATGGCTGAAAGGAAGTTACCTTTTGAGGATTGGTCCTTTGGATAGGATATTTCGTCCTTGCCGATTACAGCAGCTCTTCGCACTTTTCTTGTAGCTCCCGAATTTGTTTCTGTACCGTAGCGACCCTTGAGGCTTCTTCTTTTGCTTCGGCCATTGCCCGTTCCAGGGAACTCATTCGTGTCTGCAGCGAAATGATGGCTGAGTTCGGGCTTTCGGAATTGATTGGGGCGGATACTGTCGGAGGGCTTTGGATGACGTGTGTGCTGTTGGGTGTGACATTTCTGCGGCATAGGAAGATGGCGAGGATCACCACTCCAACCACTCCCAGTGTTCCAATGGAGATTGAAGTGTGGCCAATCACTGAGACTTCGCGGACGTCACTGGTCGGCTTCTGGTCCCACTCGGCCATTTTCCTTTCCAACTCGGACAGTTTGGGAGCCTCTTCGTCGGACGCTGGCATGGTGTCAATTATCTGTTCCAGGACAGTTTGGTCGAGATCCTTTGTAGCCGGAAGACGTTTGAAGATTGCTGAGACGTTCAGGTTCAACTTGAAGTGTGTCAGGTCCTCTAGGTCAAAGTCCCTGGCTTGTGCCTCTCCTCTCAGATGGGCCGGTATGATATACTGGTCTCCTATCGCCGCACATCCGGGTGGCAGGGAGAAAACTCCGGTGCCCTGAAGTCTGAATCCTTTGGAAGGCTCATTGTCTTTGGCGCATTGCATGGCGAAAAGTTCCTCTTGAGGGAGGGCGTAGAGCCACTGGTGGTCTGACAGCGAGTAAACTTGGGGTTTCGTCCGGACGATCCTCCGGGTACAGTCTTGGTCAGCTGCTGCACGGTCGTCTCTAAATGCATGGTATAGGCATCCCTTGCGTGTTTCTCTGATGAGGGGTGCGAATCGCTGGCAAATTGTCTTCTTGGTGGTCGTTTTGCATTGTTCGACGTCTTCTTGGGTGATTTCAATGTGAAGTCGCTGGTCGTTTGAAATGGCGAAAAACTCCGCGCCAACATCCGTCTGCAGAGCTATTGTCGAGTTCATAAAGTGAGTCGGTATGGATGTG